CATGCTCCGTTTTACACTCTTGTTACACTCGAGTGTAGCGGTGTAGCTAGCGAGAACAAACCTAATGTATGAATGTCGCACACGGAAATTTTCGAACAACCTATCCCTGTACCTACTTCTGAAGGCCAACGCAGAATAGATCTGTAACTGGAACCGCAATCGTAACCGTAAGCGTAATAATGAGTTAGAGAAGGATAAACAATATACCTATCCTTCTCTAACTTATTCTTACGGTTACGCTTACGATTGCGGTTCCGGTTACAGATCTATTCTGCGTTGGCCTTCAGAAGTAGGTACAGGGATGGGTCAGTTTCACGTGATTTCGGATCTAAGGGTACAGTCACACGATCTAATGCATCTGCATGATGCATGCATGCAGAAACATTTGACCGTTCACACCTCATTTTTCGCTTTCAGAAAATCAGATTTCTGGCGGGATATTTAAAATTTTAATCAATTTTAAATATCCCGCCAGAAATCTGATTTTCCGAAAGCGAAAAATGAGGTGTGAACGGTCAAATGTTTCTGCATGCATGCATCATGCAGATGCATTAGATCGTGTGACTGTACCCTAAATCCTGCGGAAGTTCGGAAGCGCCTACGCGCCACGAGGCAAAGAGAGGAAACCTGTTTCTGCTAATGTCGTTTTAGCTTGTGAAACATAGGAACACGTTCGATGGTTCGCTGGTTCGGTGGTTCGATGATGCACCCCAGTCCGACTCCTATGTATTTTGAAGGAAAAATATGTCAGCTTAGTGGTTTGCGTTTTCATCAGGAAGGAAGAGTAAGGAGACCGAACTCTGCTTCTACAAATGTCTGAGAAATATGCACGAAAAGTGCCAGACTCACTGTGTTCTAGTTGATCACCAATTAAGTCGATCATGCGCATTGAACTAAAGTTCAGTGTTGACATAGATGAAAAGTGTGGTTATGTCAAGGTAAATATTACATAGTTTAAACAGTGTTAATTTTAAAAGCAAATTTATTTATTTGCAATTGTGATATTATTTAGATTTTCAAAATAATTTAATAATATATTTATGAAAAGGGAACAATTTTGCGAAAATGGTTAAGAAGAACTGTGTTTATAACTAGAGTATATTTACATACCGTAGAAGGATAGAAGAGACTAATGTTTTTAGACTCTTTTTCTTTCTTTACATCCTGGCACACAACACGACATTTTTTAAATAAAATAAATAAATAATTATTAAAACGAAATGTATTGTATATGTATGTATCTCACTAAGGCCGGCTAAATGTAAACATTAGATCTTACATCTCACTCGCACAATTTTTACGAGAAACAGAGACACAACACAGCTTATGCGCATGATCAACTTAATTGGAGGTCGACTAGAACGCAGTGAGCCTGGCACTTTTCGTGCATATCTCTCTAAGATTTTTAGGGCGGTATTCATAGTCCCGACTTAAGCAAGGACTTAAGCTTTGCTTGATCAAGTCGGTCTTATTCGAATGAGTCGAGCTTAAGACCGTATGAATTCATAGTCAAAAATAAGCAATTGCTTGGTAAAGGAAATGCAGCTTAAGAACTTCTTGACCAAGCAAATGCTTAAGATGATCTTATTGAGCGTTCGGCTTTTTCCGTCAATATTCTCTTGTATCTACCAATAAGCGATAGTAGATAGCTTATATTCATTAGAAAAAATGACGCTAATGCACATAAAATATCTGATAAGGGAGAGGAGGGGGGGTCAAAAAAACTGAAAAATATGCATATTTTAATATTTTTAGGATAAAAGTTATAAAGTAAAAGGATACAAGAAATGACTACCAGAATGATGAAAATTGAAATATTCTTATTCCTCACGAAATATTATATTTAGATTCTAAATTTTTCTGTATTAAAAAATAGAAAAAATTATTTTAACTATTATTATATTGTTTCTAAAAAAAATTATTGAGTCAGAATCAGTGAAATTTTAAAAAAAATAAGGAGTATTTTTATAATCGAAATGAAAAAAAGCATTTTTATTTGGCCATTGTCTCTAACAAACAAACGACAGAAAAAATTTTGTTTAAAAAAAGTTATTGTAAAATGAATTTTTTTGCAACTTTTTATAAAAAAATCTTATTTTTCCTAAAACAATGAACCAAGAGTGCATATAAACGGGGTAAAACAATTAACTTTCATTTGGAATTACAAAATTTTTAAAAATAGTATTTTTTAATAATTATTTAATATTAACAGTTTTATTTCCTCATAGGGTGTCGATTTTCTTAGAATCAATTATTTTTACAAATTTTCAAGTATAGCGTATATAAATATTTCAACATGGGGAACAAATTCTCCGGATGTATGTGTGTGGATGCATATCGAAATGTTTTTTCAACATTTCGATGAAAAAAAATACTTTTTATTTCTCGTGAAAATTTTATAAATTTTGAACCTTTTTTCTAAATTATTAAATTTTAATTATTATTAAATTGTTTTTAACAAAAAATCTTTTCATTTTTATTATAAATATTTATAAAAAGACAATAAGTAATTGCTTAAGTCATGTAAAGCGTTGACTTAAAATCATAACCTCAATTCGTTCAAATAAGTTCACCGGCAATGTCAAATAAAGGCCAACGCAGAATAGATCTGTAACCGGAACCGCAATCGTAAGCGTAACCGTAAGAATAAGTTAAAGAAGGATAGGTATATTGTTTATCCTTCTCTAACTCATTCTTACGCTTACGGTCACGATTGCGGTTCCGGTTGCAGATCTATTCTGCGTTGGCCTTAAGATCATCTTATTTGACTATGAATACTTGTCATTCTTAAGATGGGACTATGCATCTCAAAATCGAAGCATTTACTTTATCAAGCATATGCTTAAGTTGCGGCTTAAGGCAATGCTTATTGCACGACTATGAATCTAGGTGGCAGCTTAAGTCGCTGCTTAAGAAATAAGTATCGACTATGAATACCGCCCTTAAAGCGCTTTCTACACAGAGTTCGGTCTCTTTACTCTTCCTTCCTGGAAATTTTTTGGAAATTCTCTATGAGCATAGCCAATCAAAACGCTGGACGTTTCTGATATACTTAGAACGGAGGAGGTATACAAGCCCCTTTACCTTGTAATTAATATCTGTTATAAATAATATCTAAAAAATATTTTATTACATTAAAATTGTCAATTTAAATAAATTTGGTTCATTTTTAATTGTTATTTTAAATTTTTTATTTAGTTACAATCATATTATCAAACCATCAAACGTGTTTCTATGTTTCAGAAGCCTAAACGGCATTAGCAGGAACAGGTTTCCTCTCTTTACCTCGTGGCGCGTAGGCGCTTCCGTAAAATCCTATTGAAAAAACACCAGAAAGATTATTGATGTTTAGGGTACGTTTACAACTTTGGTAAAAGAAGGATAGAATAAAGGAGCATTCAGACCTCTGCAGGCTGCTTGCCTGCGCAGGCAGAAGCAACAAGAGTAAGAGAGAAAGTAATGAAATTTGAATTCACTGACTCTCTTACTCTTGTACGTTACCATGGCAACCTGCAGGCAGGCTATAGTTATATAAAACACTAGCTCCTCCGACGGCCGCAAGCAGCCGTCTACGGTGCTAGTTATTATATGTCCATTGTCCAAGTCTATTATTTTATTAAAAAAATAAATAAATAATATTAATATATAATACAGACATTATAATATTTAAATTTTTGCAATTAATGATTTGCTTATTTATATTTTAAATGTTGGCCTTTTTTTGACAATGCAAAATAAAATTTATTATGAGTACTTTCTCTTAACAAAAATAAAATTTATATATTCGCGCTCTTTTTAAATAACATAGACTGCAGCTCCACCTGCATACGTTTAAACAATTTTGAAAACACCCTTCTATTAAGGGAGCGTTCAGACGAACTCATGCAAAACTTTTGCATGCAGGTTGCCATAGTAGCGTTCAAGAGTGAGAGAGATAGAATAATTCCTATCTCTCTCACTCTTGAACCCTACCATGGCAACCTGCATGCATAAGTTTTGCATGAGACCGTGTGACTGTACCTTGAGATTTTACATTCTCATTGCCTTTACTTTAAGGCCAACGCAGAATAGATCTGTAAACGGAACCGCAATCGTAACCGTAAGCGTAAGAATGAGTTAGAGAAGGATAAACAATATACCTATCCTTCTTTAACTCATTCTTACGGTTACGCTACGATTGCGGTTCCGGTTACAGATCTATTCTGCGTTGGCCTTTACTTCGATACATTCGACGTTTCCACTCCGTGTCTTTTTTAAAGGCCTAAGCACAATAGGTTCGCGAAAGTCGTTCGCGAACGCAAAGCATGAGTTAGAAAAGGACAGAGATACATTTGTGTCCTTGTCTATCTCATGCGTCTCGTTCGCGAACGACTTTCGCTATTGTGCGTTGGCTTCGATACTTTTCGATACATTTGACCTTTCCATTCCATGTCTTTTTTAAGGGCATTTGAACCTTGATGACGTCACACATGCTTTGCACAAACTGAAACGTCATCAAGGTTCAAATGCCCTTAAGAAAGGAAATATAGTTCACCGCCATTTCACGCATCATTCCTGTCATGAAAATAAAAAAGACAAGCTTGTTTTAAATTGAGAGTTAAACGCTAGTAGAGTTTAATTTAAATAGTAATATTATTACTTATTTACATAAGTATTTCTTGAAATTTAAAAACTTTTGAAGTCATAATAATAATATAGAATTAGTAATTAATAAAATAATACAAAAATAAACAATAATAAACCTTATATTTCACGAAACCAAAATTTCATGAAATTTTAGATCCTATTGAAGAAAGGACTTTACGTTTCTCACATTTGAGGTTTCCCTTCTACATATTAAACATATTTGGAGGTTTGTCGTTTCATAACCATTCTTTAGTCAGTGTTAGAAGTTTGAACGTCGTAAGCAGCATTGTTTTGAACTCTGTTCTTCTACTAGTCCCATGAGGTCAACGTATATTTATCAAATAGCAAGCAAAAAAATATTACGCAGAGATCCTTTTACTTTTACTAAATTATGGCGACCTTTTCTTTCGGACAAAACAATGGGCTTAACTCATTAACTACCATCTTTTTCGACTTGGACAACACTCTTATCGAAACAAGAAAAGGAGACAGTTTAGCCTGCAAAAAGGTATAAGTTTAAATTATTTCTTTCACTTTTCCCTCAATTTCCTTTAACCTTGTATTTCTCATTACTAACTAGAAATGGGAAATTTCAGTATGTTTATCACTTCTCCAGAAAGAAAGAACAATTTTCAAAAATAAAATGTCAAGTTACAAATTATAACCTAAAGAGTTTCGTCTGCTATTGTTTTGTATGTACATTGGGCGGCACATTTAAATATATTTTTGAAGGAGTGAAATGTAAGGTTTTTATTTAAATCAATTAAAAAGGGTGAATTAATTTTATTATATTACATTACAAGTTTTATTGTTTAGAATAGAAAGATAAAAAATTTGTATGATTAAATAAGACATTTTTAGTTATTATCGTTTAACGATATTTAAATTTAATTATTTTTTAATTACTTTCAATTCCTTAAAAATTCTATTTATAACATTCGTCGAAAGAATTCAATTATTTTTAATACAATTTTAATGTTTAGTAAATTTTTCCACAATTATTTAATTAATTATTTTTTCGATTTTTGGAAGACGTATAAAAGGTAAAAAAAACTCTCTTTTACTTTTTTTATAAAATAGATGAGTTCTAGTTCGCCACCATCATCAGGTCATTTTAATAAAAAAAAATTTTTCAAATAAATACAACACAATTTTAAAACTAAAATTAAAAACAATTTTTACCTTGTTAAAATCAATAAAATTAACATCACGTCAATAAATTAAAAACCATAAATAAACAAAATACAACAAAAATATAAAATATTTAAATTTACAAATCACAAACATATTAAAACGAGTGATTAGTCAAACTGACTGAGCCGATGACAATTATCGCGTTATATACAAACGTTGGGATGAATGATTTGATAGAAATTTTTTTTATTGAAGTGACCTGATGATGGTGGCGAATCAGACCACCAAAACGTCTATTTTATAAAAAAGTAAAAGAGTTTTTTCTTTTACCTTTTATACGTCTTCCAAAGATCGAAAAAAAATATTAAATAGAATTAGTCTTTAATCTCCAAAACATTAAATTATAAAATTTCATTAGGGTCAGTCCAGTGACTTTCGTCTGAAAGTCGTTGCGACTATATTTTAAAAAAATCTAATTTTAATATATCAAGGCTCGAACTAGGTCCGTAAATACCGTAAAAGTCCGTAAATTGTATGATATAATTTGGATAATTTTAGAGAAATTACAAATGATTGTAGGAATTCAATTATTTTCAAATGTAATACAATTCTTGTCAAAAATTCAATTATGTTCAAAAATTTTTTTAAATTCTCGTCAAAATTTCAATTATCTTTAGAAATAATGAAATTCTTCTTCGAAATATCAATTATTTTCAAAAATTATAATAAAATTCTTGGAAAAATTTCAAATAATTTCAAAATTTTTCCTCAATTCAATGATTTTTAATAGGTATCTATACTATTCTAATAAAATTTTCCAAAAGAATTCAATTATTTAAAAAAAATCTAATAAAATTCTACATAAACCTTTAAGGGGTTACACTACCCTGAATTTCATTTTTCAAAAATTTTTTTACAGTTAAGTATATGTATTTTTATACTATAATTAGTAAAAAATTGTATTTTTAATAGTTTTGTCAAAATTTATTTTTGAAATACCTTCCAATTTTCAGGCGTTCAGGGTGGTGTAACCCCTTAATTACACAGGTCAACAAAAAAAGACTTACTTTTTTTATGAGATATCGGAATGGTTTCCGATGTATTTTTGGACGCTGAACACGATCCCGTCTTCAAAAATTGCCCATCACGTCAGGATTTTGAGAAAAGTGGGGGTAAAGACCCCAAAAACGCTTTTTTGAGGATTTTCAACATTTTTTCTCTTTAACCTGACGTGCTAGAGACTTCCACAAGGTCTTAAATTAAAGATTGTAAGGTGCACTACAAGACCCATATCCATAAAATAAAAAAAATTAAAAGTTTTTTCAAAAAATAGGGTTGAAGACACCAAAAAGGTGAGTAACAATTTTCAAGCGAATCCAAGCAATTGCATGAAGTCTATTAAAGCAATCCAAAAACACACCTTTTTGGTGTCCTCAACCCTATTTTTTGAAAAAACTTTTAATTTTTTTTTATTTTATGGATATGGATCTTGTAGTGCACATTACAAGCTTTAATTTAAGACCTTGTGGAAGTCTCTAGCACGTCAGGTTAAAGAGAAAAAAAATGTTGAAAATCCTCAAGAAAGCGTTTTTGGGGTCTTTACCCCCACTTTTCTCAAAATCCTGATGTGATAGGCAATTTTGGAAGTCGGGATCGTGTTCAGCGTCCAAAAATACATCGGAAAACATTCCGATATCTCATAAAAAAAAGTAAGTCTTTTTTTGTTGACCTGTGTTATTTTCAAAAAATAATAAAAATTTTACAGGAATTTCATTATTTACAAATTTTTTTTTAAATTTCTTCGCAATATCCAATTATTTGCATAAATAATAAAATTTTTACAGGTATTTAATTTTTTTGGCAAATAATAAAATTCTTATTAGGAATTCAATTATTTTGATAAATAATAAAGCTAATTGCAGAATTTCAATTATTTTTAATACAATTTTAATCGAATTCCTCGAAAAATGTAATTATTCTTAAAAATTTTATTAAAATTTATCAAAGAAATTTAATTATTTTAATAACCTTTGCTACAATTTATTTATTAGAATTTAAATATTATTTTTAATAAATTTTTAATTAAATTTCTTTAAAGAATAAAATTATTGCATTCAAAATTTTTTATGCAATTCTTTGCGTAAATTATCAACTATCTTTATAAATAATAAAACTCTTCTCTAAAATTGAATTATTTTCAAAAAATTTAATAAATTTCTTGGCAAAATTTCAATTATTTTCAAAAATTTTCCCTCATTTAATTATTTTTAATATCTACTATTTTAATAAAATTTTGCAAAAGAATTCAAATTATTTGAAAATTGATTGATACAATTCTTTAAAAGAATTCAATTTTAAGAAACATATGTACTTACATATAAATATTCAATAAATTTTCAATAAATTGTTTTTTTTGTATTTAAATAATGAAATTCTCGTAGAATTTTCTCATAAAAATTGATTTAAAAATGGATTTCAGTTAAAATTTTAGATTATAATTCAATATTAAAAGTATTAGAGCGTAAAGTTTTAGAAATAATTAAATTTTGAAAAGGTTTCAGATTCAAATCTTTGAAAATTTGAATTTTTCATATTTTTAACTAACAATTTTGTGGAATTAATTTTTTTGAGAAATTTTAATTGCGGATTTTTTTTTTATATTATTTGAAGCTTTTATTTTCTAATACATATTTAATTAAAGAATTTACAAATAATTGAAATTTCGTAAAATTGAATATTGTAAAGAAATGGATTTGAAAATTGTCAAAGAACTTTTTCGAAAATTATTAAAAATAATCGATTTTAAGAAGAATTTTAGTTAAAAAATTCTGGAAAATAATAATTGAATTGAAAATGATTTTATCACTCTATCTTTAATTATTAGAAAACATGAAGTAATGACTCGGAGTTATCGATATCTTCATGTTTTTTAGTTATAAACAAATCTAATTTATAGTTTTAAGTAAAATGTTCTCTTATATATTTTTGTCAGTAATTGGTCCGTAAATGGTCCGTAATTTTTCATTTTTGATCTGTAAAGTCCGTATTTTTAAATACATTCACTGGTTCGAGCCCTGTAAAATTCTTTGAAAAATTTCAATTATTTTCAAAAATTTTCCTCAATTCAATGATTTCTAATAGGTATTTACTATTCTAATAAAATTTTTCAAAAGAATTCAATTATTTAAATAAAAATGTAATAAAATTCTACACAAACCAATCATTATTTTCAAAAAAAAAATAAAAATTTCACAGAAATTTCATTATTTACAAATTTTTTTTATAAATCTCTTCGCAATCATTCAATTATTTTCATAAACAATAAAATTTTTACAGAGATTTAATTATTTTGGTAAGTAATGAAAAAATTCGTCAAAAGAATTCAATTCTTTAAAAATTTATTGATACAATTCTTTATGAGAATTAAATTTTAAGAAACATGCAATTATTTAATAAATTGTTTTTTTTGTATTTAAATAATTGAATTCTGGTTGAATTTTCTAATAAAAATTAATTTAAAAACGGATTTCAGTTAAAATTTTAGATTATAATTGAATATTGTATAAAGCATTAGAGCATAAATTTTTAGAAATAATTGAATTTTGAAAAGGTTTCAGATTAAAATCTTTGAAAATTTGAATTTTTCATATTTTTAACTAACAATACTGTGAAATTGAATTTTTTTATATTATTTGAAGTTTTTATTTTCTAATATATATTATATTTATATATATACATTAGATTCACATACATATAGGAAAATTAGATTTTCTAAAAATATGGTCGCAACGACTTTCAGACGAAAGTCACTGGACCGACCCATTAACTTTAAAATTCAAAGACACATTTAAAAAGAATAGCTATAAAAAAAATTAGAAAACAAAAAAGCAAATAATATCAACAATAGACTTGCGGAATGCAACGATTAATAATATATACATAGAAGATACTGAATTACTTTTAAAAAAAAATTTATAATGTTTTCAAATTACACAAAGTTTAAAACAATTATGCCTTTCACTTATATTTAAATGAATACTTTGGGCGCATGCATATCCCATAAAAATTATTTGTTAGAATATTTATTGGACAGAATTTTATTAGATAGAACATTCATATAGCTGATTTAAAAAATTTAGAATTTAAATTAACGCGAATTTTTACTTACTCAAAAATATGACTTAAGACCTAAGTTAAATGTCAGAAATTTTATTACATAGAATCTTATTTTGTACAAATTTTAATTTGCAGGAATTGTTATTTAGTAGAACTCCTAAATTGACGAAATATCAATTTACAGAATTTCCATTTGTCCGAACAAATATGCGTCAGAAAGATTTCAGCGCCAATTTTAAAATTGACCAACCACTATTT